AGCCTGCAAAAAGCCATCAGCCCCTCACCCAGGCTGGCCAGGCACACCAGTGGGGACCCCCACTCTGAAGGGGGTGTGGCCAGCCTAAAAACGGCCCTCAGCCCCTCACCCAGGCTGGCCATGAACCCCAGGGGGACCCCTTCCCTGATCTGGGACAACCTTCAGGGCAAACCAGCCGGCCCCCACTTGTGCACCAGGCCTCTATCCTATATACTAAAAGGGTAATATGCAAATTGACCCTAACAGCAGAACGACTGGGAATGACTGGTCACTATGACACACACTGACCACCAGGGGGCAGACGCTCAATGCAGGAGATGCCCCCTAGTGGTCAGTGCGCTCCCACAGGGGGAGCTCTGCTCAGCCACAAGCCAGGCTGACGGCTGCCAGCACAGCGGTGGGAGCCTCTCCCGCCTACTCAGCAGCACTAAGGATGTCCGACTGCAGCTTAGGCCTACTCCCCGTTGCAAGTGGACATCCCCTGAGGGCTCCCGGGCTGCCAGAGCGATGTCTGACTGCCAGCTTAGGTCTGATCCCCCAGGGAGCAGGCCTAAGCCAGCAGGTGGACATCCCCCAAGGGGTCCCAGACTGCAAGAGGGCACAGGCTGGGCTGAGGGACCCCCCCCCCCACCACCAACGAGTGGACAAAATTTTGTGCACCGGGCCTCTGGTGTAATAATGAATTCTCTTTTGGCCATATGGAGTTTGGGGTGCCTATGAGGCCTCCAGGTGAAAATATACAGCAAGCAGGGAATGGATATGAATCTGAAGGATGGAAAAGGGTTCTGAGTCAGAGAGATGGATTTTGGTGTCATCAGCCCAAGAGGCCGTATTTGAAACTGAGGATATTTGTGATAGTTCCAGAGTCTGTGGTGTGAAAAGAGAAAAGTTTGCGGCCAGAACCATAGGGAACACCCAATTGTTTTGAACCCAACTCCCCAGGAAGACATGGTCTAATTAGGGCCCCAGGATAATTTCAAATGATGGAGAGTTAGATATAGAGATAGGTAGGTAGGTAGGTAGATAGATAGATAGATAGATAGATGTCAAGTAGATATCCTAGGCAATTTAATTAGCATAAAACATGTCCCATATCATGGAAATCAGGCAATGTCTAGAAACAAGCCTCACTCAGAAGAGGCTCTCTCTATATTTTATAAAAACTAATACTGTAATACCTTCCTAAGTTTCCTCCCAATATTTACTCATTTCCAATACTACACCCTAAATATTCAAGTGGGGATAGGGTGGGAACATTTGTTGAAATGGCCACTAACTAGAACCACAAACACCAGAAAAAAAGATGTCCTGAAGCCTTATTTCCAGTGATATTTTAAACAGGCAATGACTAGGTTCTTCAAAACCCTATGCCAAACCTCAAAAACCCATAATTACTTCAATTTTATATTGCAGATGTGGGAAACAAACATTCTTCCCTTTAGTCATCTTCACTCTCATTTATACAAAGGCTAAAAATGTCTTTAATTGAACAAAATAAATCTTAAGGTAACTGTCCCAAGGGATGTTATTATGAAGGAATTTGATTATTCTATACAATCTATACAGTGAATGGATAAGGAAACATCTTATCCTCCTGCATAAGGTTATTAGATTCCCATACAGTTACTACCTAGCTTCTACATGACTATTATTAATATAGAAAAGTGAGGAGAGAAAAAGAGCCTCTGACAGTGAAAGAAGAAGCAGTCAGAGGTATTCGGGGAGAACCAGGAGAGAATTTCTTGGAAACCTAGGAAATAAATGTCCAAAGGGGAAAAAAAAAAAGTGACCTTGTTAATAGCAAATTTCTGATGAGAGAAGGAACAAGAAGTGGCTATTGAACTAGGCGACCAGGGCATGAGTGCTCAGGGTGAGGGAAGTCCCAGTGGAGGAGTTCTCAAGGGGGAAACCACTGTGGATTACAGTGGATTGAGGGACGCAGTGGAGAGAAGCAAGGAAGACACTGGGTCCGAATATCCACAGAGCTTCCTGAGGAACCTTTAAACTTTGAGACTCTCAGCCTCTGATCTGCCTTCCCAACCTTTAGATAAGTTAGATTTATCTTGAAACTGGAGTCCATAAATTTTTGTCAGGACCACCATTTGGAGTGAAGCCTCGCCCTGCTTTCCTCTACAGATCTGTCATGCAACAACAACCAAAATTTGAGGTGGTTCAAACTTCCTATATCTCAGCTACATATTGCCCTTTCCACCCTAATCCTTCATCTGCCCCAGCTTTTTATGGCTCTTCATGAAGAGGGAGCTATTTAGAGAAGTTTGAAGATGAGATATCAACTAGAGAAGGATTAGTTAAGTATTCATAAATTTTGTTTTGTTTTATTTTAATTGGGAAGCAATACACAAAGGAGCCAATAAAGAAGGGCAGGTTAACTACATAAGACAAAGTTATTTCCTGATGGCACAAAGTTCAGAAAGTGCTGGAAGAGATGGGCTGACTTTAAACAGGAGAAGGGCGACAGATTCTCAGAGACCAGAAAAAAGGAAATAAACTTAGATCTCTGGGACAAGGGTTGGCAAATTTAGGGAGAGAATATCTGATCATCTCAATGTTCTCATATGACTATGGACAGCATTTGAAATTAGCGCCCATTCAAGAAACAACACGGTTGAGGAAAAGCCTCTTCAGAAATATTTTTATCTTCCATCAAAGTGTTTGCTTCGCTTACCCATCCCCTTGCCTCCCATCTTTTATAAATCATCATGGGCACTGAGAGGAAACCAATAAAGCCACAGTGTTGGGGGAGCATGAAAGACCTTCACTGGGGTATTCAGAAAACTAGGTACCATCTTGACCCAAATTCACATAAATCTATACCCCAAACCACTAAGTACTCAAACAACAATTTACATCACATCACCTCCTCTGCTCTCCCCATAACTGGCCCATATGTCCCCTAACTTCTGCTGTCTCTAGTTTCCTGCTCATGATTCCCGCAGAGACCAGCACAATCTTGTACACAGAATAAGCCTTCAGTTAAATGAGTGAGCTAAGATGCTCTCTGCAGCAGGAAACCTTAACCCAAAATGTTTCATCTACATTACAACTCTATTGAATCTCTGAATAGGTTAACATATAGATAGAACTCCATGAATTATTCCATTCTTGTTTTGATCAAAAATTTTCGATAATGTTAATTGGTAAAACATTAATATTGGGGGAAATTAGGTTAAACATATATGGAAATTCTTTGTACTACTCTTGCAAATTTTCTGTAAGTCTGAAATAAAACAAAAGCTTAAAAATAAATGTTTGCTGGGGGAAAAAGAATTTTCGATACTGCAATAATTTTACTGTTTTTCATAGAGCTATTCATTACACAAAATACACCCATATTTATTTAAATTTTTCCATTTGCATATACCCTAACCTGTGGTCGGCAAACTCATTAGTCAACAGAGCCAAATATCAACAGTACAATGACTGAAATTTCTTTTGAGAGCCAAATTTTTTAAACTTAAACTATATAGGTAGGTACACTGTTATTAACTTAATTAGGGTACTCCTAAGGCTTAGGAAGAGCCACACTCAAGGTGCTAAAGAGCCGCATGTGGCTCATGAGCTGCAGTTTGCCAACCACGGCCCTAAACTATGGAAATCACCCTATGTCTGAGAACCACATTAATATCTGAATTTATTTCTAAAGAATGGTTATGTACTAACTCTGTAACTCCCTGCATTTGGGGGTAGTTTTCTGTCCTAAACTTATAGGCTAGAAAAACTGGCTATATGTAATTGGTTCTGATCTAATTCATAAATTCACATATGCCATAAAAGGGAGTTTAAGCACTTTAGCAAGTATATGGTAAAGCAGAAAGAACATTAGAATGAGCTGGGAAACTGAGTTCTCGTCCAGGTTAACCACTCACTACTGATATGACCAAGTAAACCTTAATCTCTAGGCTCTGATGCTTTCATTCATAAAATGAGGCAATTGGATAGGACAGCCTATGACGTTTCTTCCCTTATTAAAAGTCTACAATTCCATAAAGCATTGGCTTTCTATTTATTCATCATGTTGTAATTGACAAACCAAATGAGGCATCTTCCAGTTAAACTGACCCTGCTGAAAAGTCTTTGGATGCCGGCCACCCACAGTGTCCTTCCAAAGAGTCCTTCATACAGAAATCTTCATACCAAGTGCAGTGGCCACTCTGGCTACAGCTGGTTGAACCAGGAATGGCCACCATAAATGGCCCAGTATCCTCTGAAGGGTCCTAGCATAAGAGCTTCCCCAATAGCTAGATTCTTTACAAAATGGGGACTTACCTAACTGATCTCATCTCTTTTTTGGGGATTTTGAACACAGAACTTTCAGAGAAGAGAGAACTGTAAGATACTTTCCCTTAATAGCAGTTATTTTAAAGGAAATTTAGTCAGTCATTGGACATTCCAAGTGACCATAAGACCCCATAAAGTCAAAGACCATTGCCCATTGCTATATCCTTTTGTAACTCACATGAGAGGCACTCAATTATTAAGGCTTTTATGAGCCACCTAGAATAAAATAGAAACAAACTCATAGATACAGAGAACAAACTGATGGTCGCCAAATGGAAGAGGTGTTAGGAAGATGATAGAAAAAGGTGAAAGGGACTAAGAAGTACAAATTGCCAGTTATGAAAATAATCATGGGGATGTAAAGTACAAAATAGAGAGTATAGTCCATGATCATGTAATAACTATGTATGGTGCCAGATGGATACCAGATTCATCGGGGGTATCACTTCATACAATATATAAACGTCTCATCACTATGCTGTACACCTGAAACTAATATGATATTGTACATCAACTATAATTGAAAGATAAATTTTTTTAAATTTACAAATAGAAAAAGAAGTTGCTTCATGATGAGAATGAATAAAGCCTCTTAGTTATTTCAAAAGAAAAGAGAAAGGAAGGGGAGGGGAGGGGAGGGGATGGGAGGAAAGGGAAGGGAAGGGAAGGGAAGGGAAGGGAAGGGGAGGGAAAGGGAAAGGGAAAGGGAAAGGGAAGGGAAGGGAAGGGAAGATCTGGGCTACAAAGATCAAAATGCTATGACAGAGCAGAAATAGTTATGAAAACAAAGAATCACATTTTTTCTAGTCCAATAAGCATGGATTAGCAACCATCAGTACTTCTACTTTATAGTTTTACTTCAATTATTTATTCATTTCAATGGAGGAATTACCATTTTCTGATTAGCATGGGTTCTGCTCTGATGTATGACAAAAATGCCACTGGGAATCAAAGGAAAACTCAGCCTTTGAAAAGATTTCTCCCTGCTGCCAATGTATAGGTAAATTGACTCAGGATAAACAAAAACAAACAATGAAACACATTAGAAGGTGCTTATGAGTCATTTCGTCTTTGAAAATTTGGCTTTTATGAGTTAGAAAGATTTCACAGAACCATCTGACTTTGGGGATGGTTTGTTTACCCTGATTTCCTGAAATTACTGGGAACAATTAAAGGTTTGAGATACCGTGAATTTTTCTTTCCGTTTGTTGGGGGCCTAATGGCCCATCTGCAGATCTGAACTCCTGTGTGCACATCTGGTCCATAATTTATAAAATGTGCTTATTTACATCTTTTCATTCTTACTTTCCAATGTTTTGAAATGTGCCCTTCGTATATCTTTCTTTAACATACAAACACACCTTAGCTATAGGGCTGACACAATAGAGAGCTGTTAGGCATAAAACCATTAGGACTGATACCTGCCTGTTTACAAACAATATGATGGGAAGAATTTGTGGAACTATTATTGGAGGACATTGTGATGTGCCGGGCACTTCTACTTTGTGGATTAATACTCACCTGAAATAGTTGGGGGCACACCTTCCTTCACCTGGACAATCACTTGGACTTGACCTTCACCTGAAACTGAAGACAAAAAGCCACAACTTGGATGTGATGCAAAGAGTGTCTTAATATGAAAGACATTCATATGTGAGAAAGGAGGCTTTGTGCTATATTCTCCCCAACATAACTAAATTTTCAAAATAAAAAATAAAATCCTTATTAGTTAGTCTAACAATTGATTTCCAACATTTGATTTTCACTGCTTTTATTTCATTAAACTTAACTGCAGTGAGGTCTCCTAGAGATTTGGCACATAAATAGGCTATAAAAACCTTTAGCCATATGTCCTTTGGAAGCCAATGTTGGGCAGCAGGGCACACCTCATACCCTATTTCCTCTCTGTCATTTTGAAAGCTCAGCTTGAAGAGTTCATGATTTTTAGCAATAGAGTTCAGATCACCCATGAAATGTATTTGCTTTACCTTTATCCAAACAAATTGTCCTTTTAATGAAGGCTTTTCTCCACCCCACCCCCCTTTTCCCTCCCATCTTCCAAACCAACTGAGTACATTTAAAAGGCCTGAGGTTCATTAATTTTAAGTGTTCAATAAATTAGTGGAAATAATCAAAAGGCCTGATTCTTTCTGATAATGACAATTTGATGTCAGTATAAACCAGTAGATTAAGCTGGGAACATATGCTCCTTTGCCAAGAGAGGCTGCTATAATTAAATAGTGAATGCATCTACAAGGTGCTCTCACGCCTGATTAATTAGTAATCAGGTGCCCGAACTCCACTTTTCAGTAACACCTTGTCTCTTATTGGTTAATTACCTTTCTGCCTTATCAGATGTCATGGGAGCCAGCACCTCCCCACCACTGGAGGGCCCGGTGCTGCTAAAGGCTGCAGCCTTGAGACGTTGGCCAAACCCACGCTCTCCGTTGGCCATTCCCTGGGACCTTGAGCCCTTCCTCCACCACAGAATGAAATAGAACAAGGATCATTCTTCCTAATTATAAAGCATAGGATTTTGAATATTACAAAGAAAATCATCCCCAAAGGAATCTATGATGAGACCTCTCCTATTCTTCTATTCACATTGATAATTGTTCTCATTTTAATTTCTTCCCATTATAAAATGCTGAGTTTGTCAGGTATAATGGCCAGCATGTTCTTTTCCATGTTCTACTTCATCACTACTTCTAAGACCTCACTTATATTGTCTCTCTGTCCTATTCCATAGTTCACCCACTTTTCTGCCTTTAGTAATAATGACAATAAAGCCACTAGCCTAGCATCTTATCTCTTTTTTTATTCTAGAATGTTTAACTTATCCACTTCTGCTCACACTGATCTATGCATTTCCTAAAGTTAAAAAGTTCTTTAAAATAATACTGTGATATTTATCCTAAGCTAGCTCTCAATGTAGCAAATATTTATCCAGCACCAACTGTGGTTAATTTAGGATAACAATTGCATCCATTGTTAGTTTGCTTTGTCTTTAAATCTTACAGGAAGAGATTTTTCTCATGTACTTTAGGACATTAAACATTGCTGGATACTTAATTTTCATGGAACAATCTAGAAATCCTAAGTTTATAGTGCTCCACCCTGGATACCCAGGACTTAACTGACAATTTCAACAAGTTAAACAAATAAAGGTAGGAAAGAATCCTCTTAAGGAACCAAAAAACAAAATACTACAAAAGTTAAGCTCAAACGGAAAGAGAAGCAAAAGAGAATATGAACAAGATGATATCTAAAATCAAGCAAAGGCGGTAATAATAGAATACCCTTCTGCAAAAGGAATTGAAATATTATAACAGAATCAAACTCTAAGAAAGGAAAATGAGAATAAATTCCAGGAATCATTTGGAAAGGGAAGTCAGTTCACTTAGAGATATTATAAAAGTCATCCTTGTTAACAGTTTCCAGGAGGTTGTAGATTTCAGGGCATCCCTGCCCTCTCCCTAAGACCCAGCCACTGAGGTAAAGAAAGAGAAGAAGTAAAGTTTCCTATAAAGGTGTTTTTCAAGCCACTCTAGTCATTTTATAGATTTATTTAACTTACAAGAGGAATGGGTGGAGGAAGGGTAGAATAGAAACAATTTTCCCCACTAGGTAGATGATGAAATCTGAAGTAGCAGGAACATAAGCAATATATCCAAAATCCCCTGGTGAAAAAGATACTGTACTTACAGCACATTATAGTTATCATCATGATGAGTAACCTTAAAACTGAAAAGGCTAACCCTCAACATACCTAACTCCCAACACAGGCTGTTCCACATGTCCTTTCATTCACTAAGTCACTTGCCCTGGTCCTGTTCTTGGTCAACCAAGGCTTCCTGGCTCAGGGAGCTCTCACGGCTGTAGCTCTGTACCAACAGCTTCTGAACTGAGTGGCCATTGACCTTGTTCAGCTGCTACACACGCAGCTGAACAAAAGGTTCCCACCTCCTCTAAATCTTCTGCCCCTAAACAGACACTGAAAGGGTACATTGAAAAGCTATTGCTCACTTCATTCAAGCAAGTGTGTGACTATCATTCAATCTAAGAAAATTAGTTTCTGTGCCAGTGGAAATGGAGGAAAGTTATCAAAAGTAGAAAAGATTAGAAAAGTCTGGTTTTCTATCCCACCACTACCTATACATGCCCTTCTGCGGACTGGGTCAGAGCACGTGAGCATGGCTTGGAAGGCTAATTCTTTCCAAACACCATTGCTGCGTCATGAGAGTGGTGCCATAGAGAGTGGTGGGGAAGAATGTGGATACTGGAGTCCAAGAGCCTAAATTTGAATTCTGGGTCTTTCAGTTCCTAGATGTGGGCACCTGACAAGTTACTCACCATCTGAACCTCAGTCACTTTCTCTAAAAAATGGGAATAATCCTACTATCTACCTCAAAAGGTTACTGGGAAGAAAAGATGAAGCAATGTAATATACTTAGTGCAGTGCCTGGCACATAATGGAAAATAAAGTCAGCTATTTTCGCCACTGTTATTATGACATGCTTATGATTCTAAGAGCCAGATAACAAAACCCAAGAAATACGCTTTTTATTCTTTTTACAGCTGCGCCTAATCACGATGAGCCATGGTATAGAGCTGTAAGCAATGTAACCAGCTCTGCTAAAATCTGTTAAGTGCTTTGACTCTAAAAAGACAGGGTAAATGTTAAGTGTCATTTCCAATTTGGATAAATACGAAAATCATTTGAGAATAAAGGTATTGTCTCGGGAAGAGTTTAAAAGCATTATACAAGCTGTGATATTGTACATATGTTTTCTCAGTGCTTGATTTCTGATTCTGTGTTTGTAATACGAGAATGGTTAATCTGCTCTGTTTATAAATGGAGACTTACTGCAGTTGATCCTTCCCAGATTGTAAGAATATCTGGTTGGTCCTCAAAAAGAAAAGAAGTATATGGGTCAATTATTGCCAAATTATGCTGACAAGTGTTATATGATCTGAGCTAGCAAGCTCAGATAGGAGGAAGAGAGAAAAGTGCTAAGAAAATAGCTCCCGGTAAGAGGAAAGAGAGCTGCTCAGCTAGAAATGATACCAGTGCCCACCAGAGCTATGTGCTGTGCCTGGCGAATTGTATCCTCACTGGAGCACTAAGAAAGAGAAAAATGAATAATTCTCTCTTAGAATTTAGAGCGATAAATAGGTACCTACATGGAAAGAAACACATGGCATCTTAGCAGGTTATAGATTCCTTTCCTGTTTCATTCTTTATTTATATTCCCATTCCCACTTTGCCCTTCAGGTGTAGGCACATATTAGGAGCTCTCGTTCAGCCCACATGCATATAGGTGAGTCAGCCATTGACTACACATGGAGAGAACACAAAACAGCCACTGTGATCTGTGTCTGCAGATTTGGTCCATTCTCACCCTGGCCCATGCCTTCGCCTTCTCTAGCTGTTGTCAGATTTGGTCCTCTCTCTGCATTTTCAGCTTAGCTTGCCCTGTCCTCTACCACCACCTTTTTTCCCAGATCTGCCTCACACAACTGCTGTTTCTACCTACCTGTTCAATGAACTGGACCTGGCTCCCCAGACATTAGCCTCCATTACTTAAACGGAGAGAAGGCTGGCTTGTCAGTTGGTCCCTGGGCGGGTAAAGTTTGGTTCACAAGACCACACTGCTGTCTGATTCCAGCTTTAGAGACAGTCACAGAGTTACCTTGGCCTTTATAACACAGAATCTTTTAAAAACCTTCACAGAAACATTTTATGAAAATTCTGTGATCCCCTTTGATTCCTCTATTATCCCCAGGGACATGCATCCTTGAAAGAGTGATTTTTTTTTAAGTGTAAGAGTAAAAGAACTTGACCGAGACACCAACAGATAGATAGATCTGCATTAACCACAGTCCTGAGAGTTAGCTCAATTAAATCTTCTTTTTTTTTTTAATATATTTTATTGATTTTTTACAGAGAGGAAGGGAGAGAGATAGAGAGTTAGAAACATCTATGAGAGAGAAACATCGATCAGCTGCCTCCTGCACATCTCCTACTGGGGATGTGCCCGCAACCCAAGTACATGCCCTTGACCGGAATCGAACCTGGGACCTTTGAGTCCGCAGGCCGACACTCTATCCACCGAGCCAAACCGGTTTCGGCTCAATTAAATCTTCTTAATTAACTTAGCACACAATAACAATTGTTATTCTGATGCAGATAAATGTTTGCCACCTATGGGGCATCTGTGATTTCCTGGGCCCTGTGCAGACCTACAGAACCAGCACTTAGAGGGATGGGCCTGGTACCATGCATTCCAGCTGTCTGCCCATGAGGCACACTTAGAAGGCACCAAATTGAGGAATTTTACAACTTCTCTCCTCCATACTCTCAAAAATGTGGTTTGTTCTCAGAAGCAGGTGTTCTTAACAAGTGAGGAGACCCAAATAAAAAAAGAGATCCTTATGTTCACACTTCTTACTTTTAATCAATTGTACCAAAAGCTTGCAAACTACGTTATATTCCCAAAATATAAGATGTGAGGTGATCATTTTAATGGCCACCTGTGCCCAGCCCTTTGTGAACGAAGGGTAGCTGCCAGTGTCACTAAGCATTA